AGGGCCTTGCATTCCGATCTCCTCTTCAGGGCCACTATAGATGTTGTTTGTTCCATCTTTTCTATAGGCGTTGACCTCATTGCTCCAGAGATTATTGGGAGAGCCTGGTTTTGCACTTTTTCCGGAGTGTATTTGTGAGTCTGTGCTGCAGTCATCCATGCACTGGATCCGTACTCGAGATGGGGCCTGATTGCGCCAAGATAGACCTGTCTAAGTGTTTTCTCATTTGCTCCCCACTGAGTCTCTGCTAGTTTTCTCATGATGTTAAGTTTCTTCCTGGCTTTAGTTTCTGCATTTTGAATGTGTTGTTTCCATGTGAGACGCTTGTCAAAGATTATTCCAAGTAACTTCTGTTGATTCTCGAACTTTAGGGGGGTTTTGTCTAATGTGAGGTGTTTTGGCTCAGCCTGGCTGAGAGTGAAGAGTGTAGCAGAAGACTTTTCTTTGTTTACGGTTACACACCAGGTTTTTGTCCATGTAGTGAGTTTGCCCAATGCTAGTTGCATACGATATGTGGCAGTAGTGATGAATTCCTCAGAGCACCAAAGAACCAGGTCGTCTGTATACAATGCGGCATGTATTCCTTAGGGCAGTTCTTTCATGAGGTCATTGATGAAGATGATAAAGACCAAAGGTGACCTGACTCCACCTTGGGGTACACCTTGTCGCAGCAGCATTTTCCATCCTTGATATCCATCCACTAGCACACGTGCTCTTCTGTTGTGTAGATAGGATTTGGTCCATTGGTACATGTTGCCTCGGATACCACTTCTATATAATCAGTGCTTGTGACTGCTTGTGAAAATGGCCCGAAAGGGGTGAGCAGGGTATTTATGTAGTAATGAAACAGTTTCGAGTGTTGTACACATGACTCATATTTGAACTTTAAAAATTTATAACATCTATGGGTGTATTTGACTGCAACGATGGTCCCAAATTAGGCCTACAGAAGGGAAACAATGATTGTTTGATTATGTAGACGCTTCCCCCCTCTAAATGCATGACAAAGAAAATGAATTATATGTGAGGCAGCGTGGTGGAATCAGGCTCTCGTCAAAATAATTAAAGTGAAGAAACTTGCATTTTTCCGTAGGTTGGTGAATTTTTATCCAATTTTTTTTTTTGCCTCAAGACTTTTCATGCCCATTAAAGAACTCATTTCTGTGTGGATTTTTCAGAAAAACGTTGAATAAAGGCACAAAAACTGTAAATTTTCAGTTGCCACGGACTCCAATTAAAGACAAGTGAACAAGCTTTAAGATGATACCAATAACTCTGCATGCCCAAAAATTGACGAGAGCCTGATTCAACCATGCTGCCTCACATATTCAGAAACAGATAACACCAACAAGGAAAACTCTAAATCATGGATAGCTCATACAATTTGCCATTCCCTAACTGATATTCCTTTCATTTTTCTTTATCGGTTTACCCAAATCATGGATGTGTCGAAAACATTTGTCAATCCCTGACGTGTTTGAGTTATCCATGTCCAACTGTATTTGGAGGTGGAAAAATCAGTCACAAAAATTGAAATATGACCTTGCAAGAGAGGAGTCTTTTTTAGTTTAATTCTAGTAAGGTTTTTACGGCGCTCGCAACTGCATAAGGTCATTATATGAGCGCCAAGGGGTTAATGCCAACAGAGAAGTCCAAACGGGGAATCAGGCTTACTCTGCTCACCTCTCTAGCCCCAACAGCACAAAGTCTGCTTTGACTATCAAGGCATCCTGGAAATAGTAGTTCACAAGAGAGTGACAAACATTTTTAAAAAGTAGCGGAAAAATGACGATAGTAAAAATGAGGAAAGAAAAAACAGCAGTTCCCCCAGTGTTGTTCTGGTACAGAATGAGCATGACATTAATAAATCAGCCCATTTACAATTCTACTGTGCATTAGAACAAGTTAATATCCTCCCTTTGGGAATGGCCTAAAGACACTTCAGTCAGTAGCACTGTCCTGGTGGGGGGAGGAGAGGAGTCTAACGTAGCAGGGGCCCAACATATCATGAAACAAATGTTACCATCTCATCACACTATAAAAAAGTTCACAACATAGAAAACATTTACATTACCACTCACTTGAGACAGAAACAAGGCTATGAATGGCCTCACGGTGGGACTGTAATTGCTTTAGTTTGATCAACTCAAATCTGTTACTGTTATGTTGATCAACTTCATGCTTCAATTTGTACGCAACTGCAAGAAAAAAAGAAACATATTTTAGTTAAAATTTTTCAATACACAAACATCAGCTGTTATAAGTTCTACACAAAAAGCATTCTAGACAAGTGCAAGAAAAAAAGAATGAGTCTTTTTTTTTTTCAAAACAATAAAATAATTAATTGTGTTCAACATATTTATCCACAAAAAAAAGCATGAATCTGTCTACATCACAAACTCAGCGGTTAATTACAAACACTGTTCAGACGTTTCCTAGCAATTGCTTGGTAGAGCTAATAAAAATCATCAGTTTTGGTCAAATCTAATACAAACTTGCCATGGTTAAAGCATTACTATTCTTTTAGCTCAGAATGATTATTGAACATTACATTATATTACAGTCGAACCTGTGTAAGACAGAATCGCAAGGGAGCGGGGAAAAAATTCCGTCTTAGACATTTTCCATCTTAGACAGGGGGAATTTGTTGGGGGGGGGAGAGTTCAAAGGCCCAGCCGGTGGGATCAAGGATTGCTTGTCCGATCGGAAAGCAGTGGTCAAAACTTCACACCTCTCAGCTGCTATCCTGTCTGATAATGACATACGTCAGTCTTACTTATCCAATTACTACCAGTGCTTGCCTTTCATAGGACCACTGTCCGACCTGTTAAAAACAGAAACGTTTGAACATCTCCTTTGCTTCCAGACTTAGTCCCACCCAACGGTCTCTGGTCCCACCCACCAATGCCACCCCTCACTGCCATCATTGTAACAACGATTCGAGGAACTCTTTTCTCGGTCGGCCATACGATCAGGGCGGCAGGCATTGGTGAATCTCATTTCACACCTCTGACTTCTGGCTACCCAGGAAAGTTTCCGTAGTGGCTCGCTACTCGAGCACTCTCACGGGCAGTCATGAGATTTCACACCCACACTACACTGACCATCTGCATCGTTCAGGGCTCACATGATGGGGTAACATCTTACCGCCAAATTGTACCCCTACTCCCCTTCCTCGCCCAGCGGAATGGCCATGGCGTTAAGTTTAGAGCTGGCGGAACCAAACTTGCGAGTTTTGTTTCAACAGGGCTGAGTGGGCAAAGCATTTTCCGTCTTAGACAGGTGAAACCCTCAGAAGGGAGCAGATTTTTCTTTCCGTTTCCGCATTGGACAGGTTTCCGTTTTATACAGGTAATTAAAGAGAGATATATCAAGGGGAGAGCGCGGAGATTCCGTTAAGACAGTTTCCGTTTTACATAGGTTTCCGTTAAGGCAGGTTCGACTGTATATGCAAAACAGCGGTAATGAAAAGCATTATCACAATGAGGAAGACTAAAAAAGCAACCAGAAAAAGAGGTAAAGCGTAAATATTTTTCTTCATGATGACCTTTCCGCTATGCTATTTCCAATGTCTTTAAAATTCTTACTACGTGCAGCACATTTTCACAGAGATCTTACACAGTTCTTTGTCAGCAGCAGTGATGATTCGTTCTTGTCTAATAGAGATCATCAAATGTACATCTGAAAATATTAATTTCAAAGTAATTATTGTGCTATTGCCACAGTTTAAAATAGAGGTAAGAACACACAGCCACTCCATCTTTCCCCCAATAAAGTTATCAGGTTCAAGCCACATCATCTAGCTTCCTTCCAATTAATAAAAAAAATGAAGCATAATCTGAAAGTTTATTTCAAAATTTCATAGTCCAAATTCCATGAATGAACAATATAGCCCAAAACTCCATAGTGACAAAAAATGCAAGCTGACAATGAAAAATAGGAGGAAACATTTTAAAAATAAAAAAGAAACAATATTATTTTTATGATCGGCCTCCTCTTATATTACCACAAAAATCTATATATATATTTGTAAAAATTCTAGACACCCACAGAATTATTGCACTGATAGTGGTGTGTTCATTCACAAACAGGAGTTCATTCCATGTTTTCACTTATAGTAATGTAAAAAACGTGATTGAAACAGTTACAACCTAATCCTCAAAACAGTATCTCACCTTCTTGTGCAGAGTTGCCGATGAAATGCAAAAGATCTCCATTCAGATTCCACAGGGACAAGTTTTCACCCCCTGCACTAAAGAGCCCTGGACCTAAAGGCTGCATAGACTGAAATAAAAAAACAAACCAGCACATCCTAATGAAATTTACACATATTTTCCTTTCAGATTTTGTTTGTGTGTGTATATGGGTGTGTGTGTGTGCTCTGTGTGTGTGTGTGTGTGTGTGTGTGTGTGTGTGTGTGTGTGTGTGTGTGTGTGTGTGTGTTTGTGCGTGCATGTTCCATAATCAAAAAGCTTTCGTGGGTGGTTGGCAGGTGCTCTGGTGTGGTTTGCTTCTTCTTTTCTATGAAACATCTATCGCCCTTATCTCCCCTTTTTCTTTTATATGTTTGTTACTCTCTTGTAACACTTCTAAGCTTCTGGCGCTCATATGACCTTATGCAATTGTGAGTGCCGTAAAACCTCTACTAAAACTAAACTAAAAAAGTTTCTACATTTAATGTGCTTCCTCACTTGAAACTTTTCCCACAACCATTCAAATTTGAAAACTCAGTCAAGACTTCATCAAAGACATAAACATTTAAAAAGACAACATGTTTAACTTTAACTGAGAACACCACACTGTTCTTCACATATGATACAGTCAGGCACAAACAACTGAAAACACATCCGGAATGGACAAATGTGTTCAACACAGCCATAAAACAATAGACTTACTCTCACTGATGCACCATGCTCTATCAGTACCTGACGACACTCTCCATTTTCTGAATCCCATATCTGAAATATTACAAGGTTTCATTTATCTATTCTCAAAGAGAAAAATAAGTTCAGAGAAAAAAGAATGTATTATTTTACAAAAAGTACATTGATAAAAAATAAAAACATATCATATAGATTTGGGGGCAGGGGGAATCTGAAGGAACAACCTTCCTATCATTTATATTCAGCTTTCTTCGATGAATCATGAAAAAAGTCAAAGGAATAATCATTATACAATGCACATGTATAAGTACATATTATTGTATAATTTGATTTCTCAGAAACCGGCAGTGAGAGTTTGAGGAATATCTAAGTAGGTACCAGAAACAAAATTTTCAAAGTAGTTGTATGCCAAATTTATCTGTTCCATATGAAAGGCCTATATCCCCTGAGCATCACACGCGGGGTACACTGCCGTATAGAGCAGACTCGCTCGCCCCAGGGGCCGGTGCGGCGCCGGCCGGGTCAATGCTCAGTGTTTTTGTCGAAATAACGACAGATCATCGTGTTTGAGGCGATAAAATACTGAATTGTAATGATCTTATAGTCTTGAAAAAAATTAGGCTCCATGTTATAGTAATTCTACTCTGTTAATGTGGCGATGTTTAGCGATCTGAATTACCCTAATTTCACGCTCTTGAAAGGCCACGAGTGCCCGCGAGGCCGTGTTTACGCTATCTAATCTAAGCAAAAAAATCAGCAATATGCTTACAAAAATAAAAAATTTTCTCCCACAGACTGAATAAAATTACAATTAAGCTATCACTTTACATTAAACATGCGTCTGCCAAAAGGGAAAACATTTTTACAAATCGATCTAATGACTGAATCCGTCTCCAATAATGTCGAAGGAACTACACATTGTTTGAAATGTTAAAAAACTAAAATGCTATTAACGAACGACTTAAAGTACTATTATCATTTTCCTATCTCTATTAAACAACTTATTACTTACTCTAATTTGTTTGTCTGATGACCCTGAAATAATGACTGGCTCTTCATTGTCGTCATCAGCTGGCATCACAAGGAGGCAGGTTATGGGATGAGTGTGACCCATAAGTGTAGCAATTCTCTTCCCATACTGGCAGACAAAAGATAAAATGTGGATAAAACACTTCTAATGCAGAATCATGACAAAAAAAGAAAACACTATAGCCGTTCCCTGTCTAACCCTTATCACTCGTTTGTTTATTTTAGAAAGCGTTTTACGGCATTTGCAACACAATACGGTCATACGAGTGCCAAAGATAAGTGGTGTTACAAGAGAGTAACAAACACAAAGAAAGGAGGAGAGAGAAAGACGTTTGATGGGAAAGAAGCAGCAAACCACACCAGAGCCCCTACCAAACACCCACTTATCACTTGTTTTGTTTCTCAATTTTGTCCTCTCAATTCTAGCCCTGAAACCATCTGAGTTTTTCTGCTTCCCTATTTAAGCTATATTATAACAGCAAAAGATAGGCAAAACTGGCTACGGTACATACATGCTTACCTGACACCTCACAAATCTCTCTTACATCTAATACAGTCAGGCCTGCCATAATGGCCACAGGTATATAAGACAATCCCTCAACAATGGGTGGTTGTCTCGGACAATTTTGAATTTCGAATGGACTTTCAAATTTTGTCTTTTCCACTTCACAGGTCAGTTTCCAACAAAACCTCTTGCCCCATTAAGCAACCACTAACACCCACCTCTCACAAAGCCAACATACGGACAACATAAACAGAAAAAATGAGTGTCTGTCTATCTGTCTTTCTCCTTCTATTTCTCTTTTAGTTTTAGTTTAGCATGGGGTTTTACAGCACTCGCAACTGCATAAGGTCATAGGAGAGCATCTATTTCTCTGAACACTATGTGCCACTTGAGAAAAGTACAGAAAATCAATTACCTGTACTTCCCATATGACAGCTTTGTTGTCATCTCCAGCAGACACAAACCTGAAAAAGAGTCGTTCACAAGTACAACAGACTGGAAATATATTAAAATCATTTCAATTATAATGCAAGAATATGAACAATTCTTTGTACCACCTTGACTTCTTTTCTGGAACTGCTTCTTCATAGCCAGATTTTGTCTGAAAGGATAAAAGCATTAGGGAAAGCGCCAAGAACAAGTAACATTAAAGCGAAACCATGAAAAATGATATTTTTACTTAAAAGCAATACTTTTTCTTTTGATGCACGATTTTCAGAAACTTTTCAATCCACATTTCCAGTTTTTTCAACCAGTAACTGAACTGTAAATTACCTTCGGTCATTGATGCGTAGCAGGATGCGGATGATATCAGAGTGATGTTGAAGAACCAAAATTTCAGTGTAGGGGTTATGTGGTTGTCCATCCTCTACCTCCTCACATGGCTGCGGAGGGAACAGACATCAGATGAAATATAATTATCATATGTACTAAAATTATTGTTTTCCTGACTAAAACTACAAATGTAAATAAATGCTATGATCATTACTATTAATAATTTGCTGGGACATGAACTGTAAAAGAAATTGTGACTTGAGAATTTAACAGAATGAAGTTCTCTATATACTGATATATATGCTGATACACAGTACTTTCAGTCCAGCTGCATGTATTTATATTATTTCATTTCACCTTGTTCTCTTAGCCTTCTACAGCTCTCATTAGATATATGCTAATTTATAAGAATGATGAAATTTGATTTGAGAGGGCCTATCATCATCCGAATCTTAAAAAGACTAGATCTACACTAACCGTTTTGCCTCCTGTGGCTAAAGTTCTAATCTTCATAATCCATCACTCTTCGGCACTTAACATTTCTGCTAAATGGCTTCAAATTCCCTCAAACTAAAGAGTCATATCGTACAAATCTCAGCTTTTGATGCACCCAAACAATTAAATGTATCTAATCAAACCTGACCATGCATGCCACATGATCTAGAAGACTCAAAAGTGGAGAAATCATACCTCAATGACTTCCTCCCTCGGCCTCAACCTCTCAGAAGATGATGATGCCAGCAATCTGTGCAGCATTCTCAAGGTGAATAGTGCTTGACTTTTCTGTTATTTTGAACACATAACTCTAGATCTAGACTATTATTTGGGCAAGAACAGATTACAAATCTGTTTCTTTTCGACAATGGCCAATTCTATGGTCATGGAACTTTCCTCAGCAAATGATCAGAGTATAATCACGACTTTGGTTTTGATCTCAAATACATTTGTCTCTCCACATAGGTTAGGCTGTTCAGTTTATAAGTTCATTCTCTACAACGCAAAACAGTAGACTCTGTCCAGGGTGTTAGTAGCAACATCTCACTAGTCTAGATCTAGCTCAGACCAGTCACTAGACAACGACAGTGCTACAGACTACAGACTAACCAACTAAGTTACTAGATTTCTATATCTAGACTAGAGATCTTACATTCAATGATTCACAGACTAGATCTAAATCTAGATTCTAGACCTCATATCCACACAGCTCCCCCTTCTTTTGCATTTATTGTGGGGGTGTTCCTGGTGCCTGACAAAAGTACTAATTAAATAATTATGAAAAATTGTACAAATCAGCAAAAATATACACACAAGTTCCTCTCGCACAACTGTCTGTGAAGACAGAACAAAAGTCAAAAACGTCGTCGGGACCGTGGAGAGCTATCGCACAATTTCTCATCACGTGATCGTGTTATGATACTATTTTCGGCTTATCACGACCTAAAATGTTTTCATGTAAAAAAAATCTGACTGCTGTTTCAGAAAGCGAATTCCCCCTCAAGGAAAGTTTTTAAAAGGGCAAGCACAGCTTGCACACCACACATAATCAATCTGCAAAAGATAATGACTTTTACACTTTCAATAATGAAAATATATTATCTCATTGCTAATAATTATTATTTTAGAATATTTATTTTTGAATCACTAGACTCTATATTAGGCCTATATCAGCAAAAAAGACCAGCTGGATCAAATAGCAACAGAGTTACTTCCCCCGTCCCCCCTCAATATTGCTTCCGCTTCAAGGAGTGGAGCTTTGGGCTTGGGTAAACATTCTGCCTGGGTAAGAAAGTTCAAAAGACAAGTTTTGCGTATTGAAGAGTGTATAGTTCTTCATCAGTACAAACAAGCCATTATTTTAGGTTTATGAGCTATATACCCAATAAAGTCGTATAGTTTGGACGCCCTATCTAGTCTAGATCTTCTAGATTCTCGGGTTCTAGGGTCAACATCAACAAGCAGACCCGGGGATTGTCCGTCTTCACGGCTTCGTCTGTGCCTTGTCAAATATTGTCTTTGAACTGTTGACAGTTAACTTCAGACCCGGGGGTTGTCAGTCTCATTGGCCTTGTTTGTATCTTGTTGTCATTGTCGATAGTTAACTTTGTTGAAATTGAAGTAACGGTGAACTTAATTTAAGCCAGTGAAAGTGGCTATTCTCACCCGCCCGGAAGTTCTCGCAAGATCAACTCCTCCCCTCTTCTCTCTCTCTCTGTCTCTTTCTGAATACTGTCTATCGGTGTGGACGATCAAATTGACCAAAACAAAGTTAAAAAATGATGTTAAAACACAAAAGTAAATTAATTTGGTTGTCTACAAAGATGCTAGACTCTACGGCTATTTAACTTTTCGAATCGAGCCGAACTACGCGGGTCGCCATTTTGTTTTGCCCGGAAATTCTCGCGCTACTCCTCTCTCTCTTTCTCTCTCTCTCTCCACTGCCCACAGACAAAATTGTGCGCTTTTAGTAGGCTACAGTTGTAATGGAACGTTTGTTCACGCACAGAATTCTACAATTTTTCTGTTATCACAGTGTAGAATTCTGTGGTTTAGGTTGAACGCAAAATTTGGTGAACGCGCACCGGGTGAGAATAGCCACAAGACTCGCCTGCACTATTCTCACTCCGGGTGAGAATAGAGGTGGCCTAAAGCCAGTGACTGGACTTATTGTGGTTAGTGTAGTGTAAATGATAGATGGATCTAGAAATCTAGATCTAGTTAGCAGGGAAGACTTCCGTAACGAGCGACCACTAGACAGAGTAGAATGGAGGGTTAGGGTAAGGTGTCTCTTTTTTATTGTGTTTGCTGGGGTGGTTGCTCGTTACGGAAGTCCTTCCCATGAGCAGTATAGTATAGTATAAATCGCAGCGGCTATGTTCACGGTGCCGTGCCGTGAATGTAGTCTGCACTCGTTATTGTTATCACGGGCCATCACACGCTAACACAAGGTTGCACCCAAGTCTCGCCCGGATGCGAGATAGGGCAATTGAAACATCTTGGTTGGCGTATACATTTTTGTCATGTCCGCCTAATGCGTTGTTGCATTTAATTGAGAGTTCGTCGTTTTCCCTTACACTGGTAAGCTCTGAGCTAGAGCTCAGGCTTAGTGTAAGGGAAAACAACGAATGGTCGATCGGTGAAGGATCACTGCTTCGTTTTCCTTTATCTCATGGGATGGAACGCTTGAAGCAGATCAAAATATTAATGTATATATATATCACTGTCGTCACTGACTAAAACCGGCTTACTTAAACCGACAGTGGACATTGTCTAAATGAAGCTTGAGTGCCATAAACGTAGCCTCAACAGAACCTGCAAACTGCATTCAGGGCGCTGTGAATGTAGCCTGACAACTACGTTCAGTGCGCTGTGAACGTAGCCACTGCGATAGTATAAGCCTTGCCGAGATAGACTCCATCACCATCATGAGCTAAATATTTTATAATCCTAAGACATGACTGCGCCCCCCCCCCATACTTTCCTCATCATCAATCAAGCTAGCCTACAGTACACTTTGGTGCTGCCTTTCTCTATTCATAAATGGACTTGCAAAACAAGTCATTTTGTTCACTTCTTGTTAACGTGTTGCGAGCCATGTAATAAGTGGTACGTGATATTTTCAGTGTGGCTATTGTTTTGTCAAATTCAAACAGGTATCCACAAGTCTGCTACGTACACACACACACCTACACATAACTGTTGTCAGTGTTTTACTTGATTATCTCACTTCAAGCACATTCATGGGGTGGAGAAATCTATAGTGGCAGCTTTTAGGTAGAAACTTAGTTTGGTTCTTGATTTGTTTTCATCAAAATCAAAGCAGTGAGATCAGATAACAACTGTCAGAGTGTTCTGACTGGATGGATTGTTGTTACAATGGTCAAAGTTATTGTTATAGAAACTTGTTGAAAGTGGTACTATTTTGAAGGAAACGAGTATTATTAACACATATTTAATAATTTTGTATTCGTTTGAGTGGCAATGTTTCTCAGTGTGTGTAATTTTTAGTTGCAGGCTTTTTTTTTAAATTTTTTTTTTTTACTAATTTGGACTTGGATTTCAGGTTTTTTAACCCCTTTATACATATTTTATTGCCTTGTACCGTAACATGTATGTGTGTATGAATTTGGCAAAATTTTCCGCTCATGGTTGCCTCTATATATGACATTTCATGTATCAAGTAATGCTAATCACGTGGCTCTAATTCTTCTTTACGAAGTTTTTGTCACAAGCACTGCATGGATTCATGTAATTCAGGAATTAAAGTTGCACATTATATCCATACCTAATTTGTTATTAATTACTTCACTGCTAGGCTTGCATGCGATCGATAAACACAAGTCTAGTCTTGAGGATGGCCGGGTGTTCTCACAAAACGTTAACACCATAATGACATTTTTTAAAAATAGAAAATTTCTCTTTTTCACTTAGATTTGCAAGTTTTTCGGAATTGTGAGTAAGATTGATAGGGAATGAGGGAAGGGAGAAAAAGTTATGTGATGGAAGACCCGTGGGTCTGAAATATATGTCAAGAGCCAGCCTGATCTACACTGCGAGTTCATTAACACTGAGACTCAGTGCTGACAGTAGGAACACGTACCCCTGGCAATGAAAGAGTAAGTCTTTCCTTACCCATGTTCACCCATTTTTAAAATCATGAATGACTAAATTGCTTTCTCTAACTTTGTTTTTTTATCTTTTTCCCCAACAGAGATACAATGGATCTAGTAGTGGCCATAGCAATAGGGGTTCTGGCTGTCTTTATTGGAGCTGTCATTTTCCTGGTGGTTTTATTTGTGAGGTTCAAGTGTAAGAAGGAAGACTTGATTTCCCAGCAGCACAAGGAGTGTAGGTGAGAATCTAACGTGTTTCTCTTTAGTTTTTAACGGAACACTTGCTATGTTATAATTTGCTTCCCTAACCATCGCAGTTGTTTTTCACCTCTACACCAAAATTTGCTAGACAGACTGGATTTTAATTAGTTCAGTCACAACGCATTATGACTGTAATATGACATGAATAGGGAACTTGGTCAGAGATGGAAAGCATCAAGACTTTTTAGATTAACGACTCTTTGCTTGCCATAGGTTAAATACCCACCCAGGGGTCATGTCAGTTCGTTTCAAAATATTGACAGATCATTTTAGGCCTACAGATTGTGGGCGTGACCATGAATCACCGTAGTTTCTTCGCCATATGAATCTGCTAAGACTAAGATGCTTCATTTTCCTTGCTCCAGAGCATGCTGATCTTAAGCGGAGACAGCTGTATTGAACAATAATATTAAATGAGATAATTGTTGCATGTTTGTGAATTTTTACATTTATGAAAGTGACTGAGGTGAAAATTAGCAATTTTATAATGTTTGGAGCAACAACATAAGAAATGAAAGCATAAAAGTTGTTATCTCAATACCAAGATACGGTATGGAAATAACTGATTAATTATACAATAGAACATGACTATAGCAGCACCCGCTATAGCAGGACCTTAGCGGAATCCCCCTTTTTTTTCCTGTAAACTCAATTACTTATGTTTGGATATAGCGGGGCAAGGAAAACCCCGAACTCGGATACAGCAGGAGAGATCAAGCGAGCTCTAGCTGGGGAAGGGGGGGGGGGGCTGTAGGTGGGCTCCAAACCAGCAGTCGTCAGTGCAGAGTTGTGATTGGCTAGTCCAGTGATGAGTGAGGTGGGGCAGGCCGTAGGCCGAGAGAGAGAGGTGGTGCGGAGAGAGAGATATTGCGGAGAGACGCGTCACGTGAACCACTCCAAAAGTGATGTAGATCTATACAGTACAATATGACTATAGCGGCACCCACTGCAGCGGGACTATCCTTACAGCGGAACCTTACCGGAATCCCCCTTTTTTCAATGCAAACTCAATTACCTGTGCTCGGGTTTAACTGGGCAAGGAAAGACCCCAACTTGAATACAGCTGGAGAGATCGAGCGAGCTCTCGCTGTGGGGAATGGGGTTGGGGGGGGCTGTAGGCGGGATCCAAACAGGCAGTCAGCGGTGTGGCATTGTGATTGGCCAGTCCAGTAATGAGTGAGGTTGGGCAGGCGGCAGAGAGAGACAGTGCGAAGAGACGCGTTACGTGAGCCACTCCAAAATTTTAAGTGATCTGCCATAGCCTAAATGCGCAGTGCCGTATAAGAGTGTATTGGCCATAACCCTAGGCTAGGCTAAAAAGTAAAAGAAGAGGAGAGCGTGTAGTATGTGATTCCTGATTCATTGGATTGCGATCGTTGATGCTCAGGCACGCACATATCCACTTCACCAGTTCTACAGTAGGCCTACCAGTACGATAGACAGCACAAGCAACAAACTGAGGAACAGATGGCTTCCAACAAAGACAAAAAAGGAAATTCTTCTCACTTGAATTAAAGGCCAAGATTATCAACGCAGTTGACAAGAAAAAGAAAGACTAATTTAAAGCGCAAATTTTATTGATATATATGGAAGGGATGTAATCATGTTGATTTTTAGTAAAAATTTTCAGTACTTTCCGCTTTGCAATCCTATAGCGGGAACTCGCCTAGAGCAGGATTTTCTGCTATAGCCGTGTTCTACTGTACACGTTTCAATAAAAGGTTAGGCCAACATTGCTTATTAATGTAGTGTCCATTCTGTTGTATGTGGTTTCAAACCTATTTTTGCAAATTGGGGAAAAAATTAGAATGTGAGTGGAAAAAGGGTTTTTAATGATATTTCTCCCTCTCCCCCTCTTCCCCTTTTCCCCTCCCCCCTGTTTCTCTCTCCGTAATGGGTGAGAGAGAGTGCTGCTGCAGGTCAATCTCACTACATTTTCAGAAGTGCAGAATTAATATATTGTCTTGTTTTTCTCAAACCAACATACACATGATTAGTTTTAAAGGGTAGGCGTTTGATTCAATGAAACAAATTTCCGTAGCTTGAGGATTTTCTCATTTTGCACCTTGCTTTGCTTTTCTCTTGACACTGAAAGTATTCTTGCTTAAACTTTCTCTGAATATTATAGTACATTGAAATGAAAATTTTGAATTGAAAAATGTTTTGTTGTTTACTTTATGTCACTCCAGGCCTGAAGCTCAGTTAATCACAGAGTCTCAAGATGGTCTCAACCTTCCGCCTGGCATGGACGTGGAGCTCGGAGATGTGAACCTCTCTAACCCCCGGCTGGAACAGCTCCTCAACAATGAGCAGTGGGTTGACGATGCAAGGTATGTTACACATTGTTTTTTTAGAACTGTCTATGGACATATTTATGATGTGAGTAGTTGGCGGGTGCTTTGGTGTGGTTTGCCCCTTACTTTCCAATCAAACTTCTGTCGTCTTTATCTCTCCTCCTTTTTTTGTTTGTTACTCTCTATTTAATACATGTAATCATTGGCGCCAATGTGTCCTAGTTGCGTTGCAAGTTCTGTAAAATGCTGACTAAAACAACATAAAATAAAGGACATACAACAAGAACTTCTCTGTTATAGAGTTAGTGATGCCCAGATGTTTTCTGCTCCATCATTCTGCTATAGACTTTTTTTCTGAATACTTTTCAGCAAACCACTTCAGTTTACCACTGGCTAATTTTCAGCTAGTTTTATTTTTTTATTCATCAGGACTAAACTTTGTAATAGATAATATGAGAAGCATGCAGAAACTGTAAAACAGCTATTGTGGTAAGGAATGTGGAGGAGCTGGGTTGGATTTTTTTTCCTTTTGAAGTGAAAGTGAAAATGTGGCAGTGTCACATTGCTTGATCAATTGTATCCTTGAAGGAAAAGCCGGCTTCCTTGGAAAAAGTTGAAAAATTAAAATCGATTTGTGATATAATGTTAGTTTATAGAATTTGTGACTTCTGTCTGAAAGGCTACAAATTACTACTATGGTTTAATAAGTTTGTCTTGATGTAAATTAGCTTTGCATTCTTACAACATTGGAGGCTGGCCTCTGATGCTCAGTACTAAATATAATATTATGCATTTCAAATGGATTTTATTTAAAGACTTTTTGCGTCCTTTTTTCCCTCAGTGGGCTGGTCCCTCACTGTCTGTCCATCCTGAAGACTTGCCACCACTTAACGGAGCAATTGGTTGGCATGACCATGAAGAATGCGGCACATATTCGTAACCAAGGAACACTGGGAGAGATTGTGATGGCCGCCAAGAGAATAAATCCAAGAGTGGATGAGGTGGTCCAGTCTCTGTGCCACCCTCTTGATCCGAGGTTGTTGGAAGCAAGGTAAGACAACACAGTGATATTTCATGTAGTTTTTGTGGTGTTCTGATATGAGTTGTCATTATTAATGAATTAAAGAGAATAACCCACAACTTTCTCTGGTTGCTTGTTGTGTTTCTATGAAGGGCAGGAAGTTTAATCAACAGACTTTAACATAAATACAAAAATTGTTCCACATCTCTCTTGTAGATTTTTTGGCAGTCTTGTTAGGAATATATGAATAATGTCATATGCTGCAGCAAAGAAAAATGTATTTGTGTAACTTGTTCACAACACTTTGTAGAAATTTGATGAGAATGGAGAACTTAAATAAGGGCCTTCTGCTTTTTCATTGTTATTGTCTGGGGTTTTAATTGGTACTGAAAGTAGGTCTATCGTATGTTTTGTTTCAAAGGCAGACAGTAGCATTTATTGACGCTGTCAGTGGTTGATCAATATGTTGCCTGGTTTACTGTTGCAAAAACTTGGACAAACTTCCACTTTGCAGGTTCACAGCATTGGTTCTGTCTGTGAGTCACCTTGTCATGGTCACGAAGAATGCCTGCCAGATGCCAGGTTCCTTGGACTGGATTGACAGGAGTTTGGCTGAAGTTGAAGACACTTTAAAGGTCAGTCTTCTATCTGTCTCTCTTCCTCTCCATCTCCCTCTCTCTTGCTCAATCTCTCTCTCTTTCTCTCTCTATCTCTCTCTCTCCCTACCTCCCTCTCTCTCGCCCTCCCTCTCTCTCGCCCTCCCTCTCTCTCGCCCTCCCTCTCTCTCGCCCTCCCTCCTTCTCTCCCTCCTCCTCTCTCTCTCTCTCTCTCTCTCTCTCTCCTCTATTTGGGTCTCTCTCTCTCTCTGTGTCTTTCTTTCTTTCTCTCCAGACTACTATACTGCTGTTCCATTTTACTAAAAATTTACAATATAGGCCTACCATTTGTTGAATATTTGTATAATTCCTGGCTTTTTATTCCTGTGTAGATAATACTATTTTCTGTGGGTTTTTAAAAATATATCATAATGTTGTCCTATTCACCCTGTGATGTAGATTTTGCCATTGGTCTTGCAACATATTGTGGGCTGTCATCAACATTTCGTCCCATGCTATGAAGATATGTATTCTATAAATTCTAGAAATCTTGATTAATTTTGTTTTAGACCCCCCCTAAGTCTTCAACTTAAACATGATTGCCTCTTCAGATTCTGCGTGAAGTCAGCACCAACATTGAGGCCAATGCTCAGGCACAGGCCCAACAGGCATCACAAACGACATCACAGAGCATCACAGTCGCCATTGAACATCCTCATCAGCTGGAAGCATCCGGACTCGGATTCGTCGTCCCACGCCCGGACAACTCCCTGGCATAGAAAGGTAGCATCATGAATCCTGCTGCAGTTTTGGATTCAAAGTTGGTTTAAGTGGGTACCCAGCAGCTGATTTTGGTCTTGATCCTAATGATTATTGTTGGTGCTGGCTGCGGAGTGGCCTCGTATCTCTGTATTACATTACATCCTCCTCTCCACACAATCACAATCACAAATGTTTTATGTTTGGGGGAAACCATACATTATCATGGGGGTCTTATCCAATGGTGTGGTAGACATAGCCAGTCACCTGAAAATAGATTTCACAGAAAGTAAAGTCAGAAAGTTGCCTGTCCTTTCTGGGAATTCACATTCTGAGTATACCAATTTCAGACGGGAATTTTCTGCTGTCCGGCAATATGCTGTTCAAAGGAGACTTTCGGAATTTTCCACCCAAACTCTTGTTCCATTTGAAGTGAAAAAAGAAGCAGTTTTGACAACTGATGTTTTCTTTGACTCATTCCATGTTTCAGGTCATTGTTTCATCTTTGTTTACTCTTTTATAAACTTCAGTGCAATGAAACATTGTTTAAAAAATGTGATTTAGCAAGTTTGACAAATTACGCATTGAGAATTTGGCTGTGCAATAACACAAGGTTTTTCACTGTTGAGTTGTTGAATTTACAGGGATGGAACAGGAAAAGATCTTCTGGAGGAAATATTGCAAAACTATTGTCACATAATGATTTGTCATAAGATTGAAATTTTTTCCCTTCTTTTTTGTTTTGTTGTTGTTGCCTACTTGTTAGTGCATTTACCATCTGTTATATAATTTCATTTTCTGTTTTTCCTCGCAAATTGTCATCTTGTCCTTGTCTCTCACTTACAATATTATTGAAGCACAATACATTTACAATGACCACAAAGTGGTTTAAAAGTAGAGAACTGATATGAGCCATTCAAATCATGAAGGGGTTAAATGAAAAAAATGAATTAGTTTGGTTCAATGCTTATAATACTATAAGATGCCTTCCATTGCAGCATTTTCTTTCTGGCTGATTTTGGTAAAATCGCCCATTGGTCTAAGTCATATATTACTTGCACATCTAAAACGTATAAAATAGTAGTAAAAGGATGTTATCAGGTGTATTTATGTTGGGTTTTTTTCTATGGAATTTCTTAAAGTATACTGGAGCCCAGATTGGTCCTGACAGGCTGGATAGAAGCCGCCAGGCCCCTCATAGAGTTAAGCCTGCCTTTGCAGGCACCTGTCCTCAGCGGTCATCTGTGTGAACGGCCACTGTTGCATGACACTCTTTCATTTTTCCTGTATTCCTTTTTCCCTAACTTGTCCAATATGGCCATGATCAGCCATTTTCGTGACAAATCAGGCTTGATACTTGTTTGTCGTGACTTGCTTTGAAAGTTTTCTACCAACCTGTCAGACTGAGTGTGTACGTTCAGTTAACACAAAGAAGCTTTTATGATAGATAATATAACAATTTTTACGCAAATGAATAGAAACGATAAGAGATAAAGAGTTTTAAGCCATCTGTTGATCTTGTCAAGTCTTGTAAGTGTCCATAACTCAGACCCTATCCTTGTTGCGGTCACTTGTCTATAATGGTCCTTTTTCTCCTTGTGATCTTCAGTGACCATTATGGACAGGTTCGACCGTGTGGTGATATGTGTTGATGGGGACTGTAAAAAACATACACAGTGGAGTATTTGGTCACGGTTCCAAGAAATTATATTATATGCCATTCAATATCGTGTACTTAATGTTTTTCCCCCCTTCATGGTAAAAGTTTTTGCCTGATTTTTTTCTGTGAAGACTAATCTTGTTGGCCTTGCTTGACATGATGTCAATTTTGTCATTCGAAGAAAAACTCGCTCATTTCAGTAGTTTATGAGTGCTTACTTAGCTCGATTGTTATACTGGACTACTGTGTGAATGACCCTGGTTTGAATCCACAATGATGCCTTCGTCGTTATCTTTGTTTGGGGAGTTTCGAAGCTCTCCAAACCCTTATCTCTTAAATAACCTTATAGTGTTTGAAAGGAGCATCAAACCCACGCCATGCTTATCAGTGGTGCATACATAATTTCTTTTAACAATAAATAAACATGTTCTTTTTACTGAAAGTAAGAGATGCAGTAGCAATGCAATAAAAGATTAGTTTTGTTGAAATTCTAACCTAGACAAAGTCAAATGAGCTATGTGGTGTGATGAGCTATGTGGTGTGCAGGACTGTAAAACAGGTTGTTGCCTCGTCTGTATGAGCATTTGTTAATGAGTAGGTCTATACATTTATTAGAATTTCATTGTGATTCACCTTGGCTATTTGTAGGTTTAACACAATGAAGCCTGTGTTTTGAAATAAGTTTTAAATAAGTATGGAAAGACGTAGATTACCTTTTGAGCAAGGCATGTTTTTGCTCAGCCTGTGTCCATACAGGGACTGGTGTTGGCGACAAATGTTTTTCTGACTGGGTATTTTCTAAAGAAATGCATTTATATAGAGATGTCATGCATGGTGAGAAAATATGTGTTACGACGCGGTGGAATCAGGCGCTTGTCAGTTTTTGGGCATGTGGAGTTATTGGTATCATCTGAAAGCTGGTAATTTGCCTTGCTTCAAATGAAATAAACATCCATTTTTCTTGAATAGAAATCAAGATATTTGCAATTGAAGGTAGTGATGTCGCCTGGTGTAAGTGGTGAAATTAGCAAGAAAATGGCTGCCAAAGTTTTGTAACTCCAATAGATAAAGAGATTTTGAAAACTGAAAAATGGCTTATTTTCTGCTTTTTATAAATGTTTTTCCGTAAATTTCACATGGAAATGTGTTTTCATATGGGCATAAAAGAGGTTAAGCCAAAAAATAAATATTCGATAAAGATGTCCAAACTGGCGGAAAAGTCTTTTTCTCCGATTTCGTTATTTTGATGAACGCCTGATTTCATCACACTGCCTCACATATATTGTGTAGACTTATATTATCTAGTAGTTTCCATATATATATATATATACTGCCAGTGCCTGCTAACAATCAGATTACAAATACATTTACCTGGTTCTTTTTTTTTTCTTTTTTTTTACAATTTGTTGAAATTATTATTATACAAAATCAAAATTACACTTGAGTATTTTGAATCTTAAAATTTTATCACGTATTTTCATGAATTTTTCTTACATTTTTTAATAAATTCATGGTTTGTTACATTCCAGATAAGTTGAGAAATTATACTCTTGATGTGTGCAGCAAAAATATCTGGGATGTAGTCTATTACTTTTAATGCCCCATTCCATCTGTTGCACAATTTTGTTATGTTTTTAAAATATTTTTGTGAAGTACATTCCCTAAGCAATTTCTGAAGCATGAATAAGAACACATTTTTGTGCTGAATATTTTCGTGGTTCTGTTACTTGTCATTGTTACTTGTTGTTAAAGAACATTTTTCTCTTGCTTAATCATCAGTCACTATTCCATATACGCATGTTCCTGTACAGTACTACTGTATGTTGGTCTCTTACCTACCAGGGATTGAGTAAATTTGGGGTAGGATTAAAAGACTTTTGAAGTTATTGAAAAATCATTGGCTGTCTGTCCCTGTTCTTAACAGGTTTGAAATTCCGGAAACTTTGTTCTTTTCATGTTATTCTCAAATATTTTATGTGATCAGATTTTTAAAACATTATACCCACTTAACTACGTTGTTGAGATAAAAGTTTGTAAGCATTGTTAAGCAAACGAACAAATCAAAACAACATTCTTACATGATATAAATATGTTCCTTGAAAAAATGTATGTCTTAGTAAGAGATGATTTTGTGGAAAATGTTCTTCTTTAAAATCTCAGAGTGTGCTGTTGTTGTACTTAATGTCGAAATTTTGCAGAAGTGACATAATTTTGCTTGTCATGAAACGGATAAGCTATCCCTGTTGAGACTTTGGGGTATTTCTTGAAGCCTCTGTAAGTTTAAAAAAAATAATATCTCCTACTCAAAGTGTTGAAGGTGATGCATAAAGGAATGCAAATGTTTTATTTGTCAGCGTTCATGTTTTATTATATCGTAAATATCATTTTTACTCAGGTTACATCGTAATTTTTGTCTGCTTTGCATGTTTCTTCGTGTAGAATCTCACATCTCCTGTGAAAGTCACATACTTTTTTATCATAAGAATTATATTTCTTATGTTTGGATTGAAATGTCGATCAAATTATTCCAGAATTTACACTGAAGCTTTCTAATGAACATGGTAACAAAGAATAATTGTTTTTGACTGTCTGGCAACATAATTTTGTCAGATGTGCTTTTGTCTCTTCCCTTTTTATACTAGTCATAGATTTTAGGACCAAGGTTATAACTTTGTCTACGCACTGTGAGTTTGAGTGTCACTTGATGACATTGTTTTTCTTTTTTAATTTCTACATTTGGTTGTATGTGTGGTGGGTCCAGGCTCAATAATGTATTGCAGCTGATGGATCCTTTATGACTCTACATCCTATTGTATGTGCAAATTTATGTCTACTACATACAGTGGAGTCTGCTTAAACAGAACATGGTTAATCTGAAAATAGGGGAAAACCAACAGAAAATTCAATCTTTGATCTTTTTCCTTTTATTTGAGCTACCCCTCTAAACCAAGAACCCGGCTATACCAGAGAAAGTCGGGCAGACCCCCAGATTTCAGTTCAAGCAGACTCTACTTTATTATTTTAAGTTCTGTTACAACGTCACTGTACTGTCGTTAGCTGACACAACCCCTTTTTTTAAATTCACAGCCAGCACTTTCGAGGTCTGAAGCTTTTTGTCAGCAAAATCATTTTGAAATAGCGTTCTTCCGAAATTTGAATTCTAATTTATTAAAAAACCAATCATAGTTTCACTTTGAATTTTTCACGCAAGTAGGGTAACTGATAATGCTTTCAATTTAGCAATTTAAACAAAGGTGGCGCCAAAATGAATAAAAAGCGTTTTGTCAGCTTCAGCAGTGGAGTAGTGGAAAGAAATTTATATGCTTTTAATCACGATCTTGAAAGCTTTATGGGTTATATAGTCCTCCTTGGTATTTTTACACTACACAAATACAACAGTCAGTTTGTAGTTTAGAAAGAAGTTGTACTGCATTATGTCAACTATCTTCAGGGGGTTAGTTTTGGGTCGACTTGTTGTTTGTTTTTAAGGAGTAGGGGGCTAGGGTATGCACATAGTATAGAGATGTTACATTTTGCAGACTTTTTCTATTACAGTCTTTTTTCAAGTGTGTGGAAGAGTTTGTTAAACTTGGCACATTCCTTTTGTGTATGAGTTTTTTAACTGCACTTTTTTCAACCTTGTTTCACCATGTTTATGAGAAACATTTGTTCATTCCGTTCTTTCTTTCTCCCCCCCCAAAGACCAAAGAAGTAACGGGTGCAGTTGGGGCCACTGTAAATGTCAGATCGGGAATTCACCCCATGAAATAATCTGATTTGTGATTTAAGTGCCTGAAATGTCAGATTGGTTTGTTCCCTGATTCAAAGGACATGCAGGGTACATTTCAGAAGTCCTCCCTGTGCCTTAATCGACGATAATGATGCGTCTAAGAACATATATTTTTAAAAGTTTTTAAGGCTTTACATGTTGATCTTTTTTTACATGATTATTGTGTATACGCAAAGTGAGATTAATTTTCTCTGTTATGTCTTCTGTGAAACATTCCAAGCACTCAATTATGTTACCCTGCCGATATGCTTCTCTTAACTCATACTACATAAAGCATAGATATTCATGTTGGTGTTATTTACTTTAGTGTATCATCTCTGCCCTGTTGATGTCCATTTCCATACTCAGACTGTTAAGCAAGGTCCTCCACCCCTCGAGTGGCCTATTTCATTACCGTAGTTTTATACTGAGTCTGGCTCATATTTATTAAAGGCAAGCAAACAAATTATAATTTATGTACAGTTGTGGTTCATATGTACAGCAAGTTTGGTAAATCAAGAATATTCAGATGTGGAAAAAAAAGAGGAATGTCCTGTGAGTGTTTGTCTTGGGAGCGGAAGTTTAGATAAATACATGTATTTTTTGTATACGTGTATACTGCTGACTTCATAGAGGCCAGTCTTGAGATAAAAAGACTTTTATATTTAGAGTTTACTTTTTAAGAACAAAAAGAATATTTGGAAGTCTCAAATAAAAATTTTCTGGGAGGAGTGGGGGGGGGGGGGAAGGGAGTGTATAGTTTTGTCTCTTCATCATGTGTTGTAGTTTCACACATTTACTTCTGAAGCTTTAAAAATATAACTCTCAGACTGCAGCAATTAATGGAACTACAGTCGAACCTGCCTTAACCGAAACCCTGTATAAAACGGAAAACTGTCTTAACGGAATCTATCCGCTCCCCCCTTGATATATTCCTCTTAAATTACCTGTATAAAACGGAAACCTGTCCAACGCGGAAACGGGAAAAAAATCTGCTCCCTTCCGAGGGTTTCACCTGTCTAAGACGGAAAATGCTTTGCCCGCTCAGCCCTGATTTGAAACAAAAGTTGCAAGTTTGGTTCCACCGGCTATAAACTTAACGCCATTAGCCATGCCACTGAGCGAGGAAGGGGAGTAGGGGTGCAATTTGGGGGTAGATCAAGGAGCTTAGAACTAAACTGTAAACTCCTTGGGGTAGATGTGACCCCATCACGTGAGCACTGAGCGATGCAGATGGTCAGGGTAGTGTGGGTGTGAAATCTCACGACTGCCCGTGAGAGTGCTCGAGTAGCGAGCAAATACGGAAACTTTTCTGAGTAGCCAGAACCCGAGGTGTGAAATTAGTTTGACCAATGCCAGCCGCCCTGATCGTACGCCAGCCGAGAAAAGAGTTCCTCGAATCATTGTTACATGATGACAGTGAGGTGGCATTGGTTGACTGTGCTTGTTACTCCGATGGGTGGGGCTAAGGGTGGAAGCAAAGGAGATGTTCAAACGTTTCTGTTTTTAATAGGTCAAGCAGTGGTACTATTAAAAGCAAGCACTGGTGGTAATTGGACAAGTAAGAGTGACGAATGTCATTATCAGACAGGATAGCAGTTGAGAGGTGTGAAGTTTTGACCACTGCTTGCCGATCGGACAAGCGATCCTTGATCCCATCGGCTCTGGGCCTTTGAACCTCCACCCCCCCCCCCTCCTTCTATCTCCCCCTAAATTCCCCTGTCTAAGACGGAAAATGTCTAAGACGGAATTTTTTTCTGGCTCCCTTGCGATTCCGTCTTACACAGGTTCGACTGTATAGTGAGAAAACAAGAGCTTTTTGGTGCGGTGTACTGTCAGTTGTATAGTTGTTTCAGACTCAACCTCTTTGCTGCAGTAATCATGCTTTTTCATTGTTTAGATATATGTGAGGCACCTTGGTGAAATCAGGCGTTTGTCAATTTAATGTAATTGAAGATATCGGCATATTTCTGCCAGTTTGACAAATTTTTTTGAATTTTTGTTTTTTGGCTCAAAACCATTGATCCATTTAAAAACACATTTCTGTGTGGACTTTACTGGAAAAAAAAGTTGATTAAAAGTACCAAAAAAATGTAAGTGCAGTTTCCAAGGACTCTCAAGCTATAGAAATCACCTGACTTTTTTGGCAATTTTCTCGCGAATTTTACCTCTGAAACAATGGGATCCCACCTGCTTCAATCGCAAATATCTCAACTGTTATTAAAGATAGATGGGTACTTTATTCTTGAAAGATAGACAAATGAACAAGCATTAAGATTACCCTAATAACTCCACATACCCAAAACTTGACAAG